TTATCACGACCACAACAACCGTGAAAATAGTTGGATTTACACTGTTGCTCAATCACAGCTGCCTGATCAATGTTTTTCATTAGCAATTTAGCAAAGTTGATGGTGGTGGTGTGTCTGTGTGAGTGAAAGACAGAGAGAGCGAGCGAGCGACAGATTTTCTGTTATAACCTTCATTTTATGGAGGCACAGTGTGAGCACTCAGGTCGCATCAGAGCATCGGGCCGTATAGTGTGAGAACCTGCATCGTGACCTACCAACTTCTAACCCCTGCGAGTCAATCGTGCAGTTTGAGCAGGAGCTGAATAACGCGACTGAAAAAATCGCACAGTGTCTGCCCAGCTTTAGGTTTACTGTCGTCCGAGACTTGCACCGCAGTGTCGGCGTTTGTTTCCCTGTTGGCCATGCTTCTTGTTGTGGTCATCTGTTGTCTTCCTGTATTTTCTCAGCAAGCGACCTTTCCTCGACCAATGATATAAGCGGTAATCTGAATTGTCATACTCGAATTGTCATAAGTGTGCTGTCAGCTCATTGGTCACAAAGCAGGAGAGGGGCTGGGAATTATGTTTTCAAACAAAGCGTTAATTCCATTAACATTTATAGACTACTTTTGATTCTCACTGTATTACGGGACAAAGTGCGTCCCTTATTAGCTCAATACGGGACGTGTACTTTTGTTTCTAAATACGGGACGATTCCGTTTTTTAAGGGGCGGTTGGCAACCCTAATCTCAGTTGTTCTCCTGACTGAAGTTTGCCCCGTGTATAGCATCCTGCTATACGATTGCATTTGTCCCTAACCACCAGAATCCCTCACGTTAACTTTTATTGAGTGGAAAAAAAATTGGCGTTCATCCTCCAGCTTTACTGTGCTAATGTTATGCTAACATAGCTGTGTCGCTAGCAATCACGTAGCACAACATTATATACCAGGTAGTCCAACTTCAGTAACCCTGCAAACGCCACTGCTGTTTAGTTTTCTGTCTTCATTTATGTTGGATGTGGTAGCAGAGCTGTACGTTTTAATTAGTTTCAAAAATCTCTCTGTCAGAACATGGTATGTTACAGGTGTCGAACTCCAGGCCTCAAGGGCCGGTGTCCTGCAGGTTTTAGATGTAACCTTGATACAAGACAGCTGATTTAAAGGTCTTGAAGTTCTCCAGAGGCCTGGTAATGAACTAATCGTTTGATTCAGGTGTGTTGACCCAGGGTGAGAGCTAAAACCTGCAGGACACCGGCCCTTGAGGCCTGGAGTTCGACGCCCCTGTGATATGTCATGTTTAGGTGGAAACTAGCGAGCTAACTTCCTGTTAACTTGTAACTCCATTAAATTTAATAAATTCTGTTTTCATGGATGCATGGATGTTAAACTTAATTGTTGCACCTGGTAAAGCAGCAACGCTGATGATTTTATTAAAGATGAAATAATTTAGACCGTTTTTAACTCTCAGTGTTCATTTGACTTTGGGACCTGAAGTCGATGGAGTTTTGGACCCAGATTACTCCTCACCACAGCAGCCGTAATGCTCTGACAATCCATCAAGCAGTGCGGCTTACCAAAGTTGTACATTTTTTAACAGATTTCTGCACGCCAAGATCGGTTCGAGGTCAGTAAGCACAACCAGAATTCATACATAAGGCACACTCTCGATTTTTGAGAAAATTAAAGGTTTTTAAGTGTGCCTTATAGTGTGGAAAATATGTTATACCGAAGAAAAGAATATATCGTGATATATATCGTTACCGCACGTGCTTCAAATTATATCGTGATATGGATTTTAAGCCGTATCGCCCAGCCTTAATTTAAATACAGTTGTCAAGTCTGATGCTTGAATTATATGATTTCAAGCTGCTATAATGCCAACCTGCCATCATCAAACAGCATCAAAATTATGTGATAACAAGCATTCGTTCTTCTCGAGATGTCCTGCTGCTGCAACCCAGAAAGAAAGACATTCCCGCAAGAAAGACGTGCCAGGATGTCAACCCTAATAAAGATGTCTTGCATTTTAATCCGTGTGTATATGTATTTGTGTGTGTGTGGCAACAGAGTGGGCAGACAGGGATTTTCTGGCACTTAAAGTCAACCTTCAGGCCAAATGGGTGTGGATTTCACTCTCTCCATCTCTGTGTGTCTGTTCACGTGTGCATTCTGGTGGAGAGTGTGCTCCACTAGAATGTGGGTGTTAGGAGTGAAAAATGAATGTCTGTGTCCATATTTAATTATAGGCGTGCATTTATGCATCTATGTGTGTGTATGTTTGTGCATGATAGCCTCGGTCCAGATGTGCTCTACACAAAAAGACCAATCGCATTTAGAAGACTCTAATTTTCCTCGTGCATGCCAGCGATTGTGCAAAGCTGTCAGTGGTGGAGGGATCCCAGTCGCAATAGTAAACACACCCTTACATACAAATCCATAAGTCAAATAAATATTTTATGCTTTGGTTCATTATATTGCTACTCCAAAGCCATGACAGTAATCATCAGCTTCTATTAAGTTTGTCTTGAAACAAAATCCATTCACTGAACAGAATCAACCCCAGATCATAATTAAGGCTCTCATTAGGGTTGCACCACCTGATCATTCAACAGTGCTCTTAACAGCTGACTACAAGAAGCATAAACAAGGAGATCAATCAGTACTGCATAATTTTTCTGAGAGGGGAAACACACCAAATGTCAGCAGATCAATACAGGAGAAGGAGCAAATAATGAACTTGCTTTGGATTACAAAGGTGGGGTCAAGATTTAGGGGCATTTCTGAAAATGGTTTTAATCACAAGGCTGGCAAAGCGCTCTGCTTTGTGGAGTTTAGTAATCCTGAAGAAAGGTGATGCTGGGGAATGGCTCTTCATCATTTTGATCTTGGGCTTAGGCTAATGACAGATTTTGGAAAGCCTTGTTTCCCACTAACAGCAGCATCACACACTTGGTTAATGCTGCAGGCTAATCGCAGTATCGATATTATTGACAGAGGCTATACTTAGTTTGATCCCTGTCAGAAGCCTCTAAGCTTCCAGTCTTCAGTCTGGCCGCTTGCCTATCAGATGTGTGAGTAAGATGATAAGTGTAACCCCTAGCGTTCATCAAGTGCACGGAGATGTGGCAGAATGAAAGGAAGGTGGGGGAAAAAAACTTACCCCGAGGATGACAGTGTCTTCTCCTTGAAATATTGGGATGAACTTATCTCCGCGGATAATTTCGGACTGGTTCAGTGGACGAAATCGACATAACACCTTGATATTGCATTCACCGTTCGCATCGGCCATTGTGAAAATAAAATTTGTGGTTTAGCTTCCAAAGAGATAAAGAGGAGTTTAAAAACAAAAATAATAGCCTGATTTAAAAAAAAAAAAAAAAAAAAAAGCCCCTGTGCAACCTTTTCTCCTAAAGCACCTGCACGCAAACTGGAACCACCGGATATAGCCACATGCAAAGCGAGACTGGCAGGCGAAGCATTTGGAGTTTGGGGTTGCAAAATATTAAAAGAAATGTAAAATAAAAGCAAAACAGAAGCAGCTCCTGGGTGTTTACTAAATTGCCCTCAAATCAAAGCTGAGCTGCATCTCGGCGGCGGAGAACATATGGAGAGTTGTAAATGGGGAGTAGAGTCCAAACTGGTCCGGTCGGTCTGGATAGGCTGCAGGCTTCTCAGAGGCATGCCTTGCATCACTGTCAGCCCTGCTCTCTCACTGTGGGCGGGGCGTGGTAGCGACTCAAATCCTCTCTCATCAGCACCGCGGGCAGAGGGACCGAGGAGCAGGGAGGAGCGCTCCAACTCTGTCATATATACATGAATTAGCCTCCGTGGAAACTTCTTCAATGTTTCAGATGCAGCAGCTGTTGCAAAAGCACGAAGTATTTCTGGCATTTACGGAGGCATTTCTGAAAACAGTAGTTTGTAAGGAGCGGGTCTAGGGCTGCACCAGTCTGGTCGTCATGGCAATGCTGTTTTGCATGAGAGGGTAGTCATGTGGGAACTAGAGGGTTCGTAATTTCCCCCCAGAGGCTTTCCAGTCTTAAGCAGTGCACTGTGAAGTTAATGAGAAGCCTTTGACACAAAACAAAAAGTCAGAATAATCAGATTCGCATATATCAGTAAACGGGTGAGATGTTATTTTGGGGGGAGTTACCGCAGTGCACGTGTCTTGTATCAGACCCCGATTGGTAAATGGACATGTCTTTCAAACTCCGTGCCTTCAGGCTTGCAACAGACGTTTTTGGTATGCTTATTAAAATTCATGAAAATCGAAACAACCCAGACATCATCATCAGAGGTTTTTTTTTTAAAGATTTCTATAAGATATTCAAGAGCTAAGCGGGAATGTATACAGCTGTCTTAGCAAGCCAATTACCCCTCATGATGAGTGAGCATCTTTCTGTGTGCATTAATTTCTTAAAGTCGGCTATACCGACTGCACTTGTAAAGGAGCATCCACTGCATATGCACTGTAAATGAGTTAGTTACATATTGTGAAATGTACATAAGTATATCACGTAAATTATAAATATTATTTTCAAACATGTCGATTTGAGCAGAAGAATATTGCACATCAGGGTTATTCATAAGTTGTTGACAGATCGACCACAGCAAGTATTACAGCTTTTAGGGAGAAGCTGCAACGACATAATATAAGATGTGTGTTTATAATTTAATAACATGTAGGGGGAAAACACGACAACTTTGTTCTTTTCCTGATCGTGAATCATCCTAATCGAGGCGTGTTGATCGAGGATCTTTGAACCCATTGATCAAGTTGTTCTTAAAAACAAATACCAAAAAACAACTCTTTGGCGCCATCATGTGACGGCATTATGTTACAACACAGTTACATGTTTTATTTAAAACTAATAAAAAAAATGTTATTGAAGAATTTAAGATAATGCATGCGACAGCTAATATCGCGTTTAATAGGAAAATAAAATAAAAAGACCAAAGCCTTATTGAGTCTTATTGGATAAAAGGCGCGCATGCGTGAAAGCGGTGTTCGTTTTCGGGTATGATTGTTTTATTGTCTTCGGTAAGCCGGCGAACTCTTTTCAATTGACGCAGCAGTCGCACGACAGTCCACCTGCCGGTGCCTGTACACAAATCAAGGGCACACGCCGTCACATCAAGCTAGTGACCACATCGGCTTGGAAAGCTCCGCCGGCTGGGAGACTGCTGGCTCATCCATCGTTAGCTTTTGTCATAGTCAGACTCTATCCAGCGATAATTTGCACGTTTCATTACATTCTGTTGTGATTCGTTGGTCTTCTTTTTTCCCTCCCGGTGACCATGGCTGATCCCAAATACGCAAATTTGCCAGGAATTGTAAGTGGCTAACGCTAGCAGACAGATACTGCTAACTGGCAGTGCTATCTCCAGGCTTTGACAGCTAAGTTAGCTAACATCTCTGCCGTTTATTTCGTTGTCTGCTTTTTGTTTTCACTCACCGCGCAGCTGGCATTTACAGTTGTAATCCCGTAGTTGCTTTATTTTTCAGCTAATTCCCCGAGTTGTGCTACGGAACACCAGAAGCAAGGGTTAGGAGATAGTTGTTGTTGAATGGGCCGGGGCGTTGGCCAGGCAAGCTGTAATAACCGGGATGTCTAACTGTTCCTTATTTTGTTTATCTAATTGTTTGCACAGGCGTTTAACGAGCCGGACGTGTATGAAACCGGTGACCTTCCTGAGGATGACCAGGCTCAGTTTGAGTCGGTAAGTGGGCGCCTTTTCCCCCCAAGTTCCCTGTTCTTTAATTTTCTGCACATTCAGCTAACTAGCTAACAAGTGTTTACACGTAGGTTTATGATTGACAGTACGGAATAACAGCTTCTCACTTTTACTGTATAAATTACATGGCAAAGGGCGGATATGTCAGCGGTACTATGCATGTAAATAATCTGTCCCTGTGCCTTTCCTGTCCTTACCAACTCTGCAGGGCGAGTGAAATACTATTTGTAAGACGTGTACAAATACCCCGTTGTTGATGCTCTTGTTTAAAATATAGAGTTGAAGTAGTGAACTTTGTTCATATTTTATACAATACATACAGCTGACTTCCACACATTGTCCCTGTTATGTATGTTTCTTTTTTAAATTATTTTAATATGTTGACAGAACTAAGGCACAAGTGCATAATAAAAACAAAAATGTCAGTAGAAGCATTTTAAAATTGGATTCAGACACTTCAAGCATATCAGCAAACCAAACATTCAGGCACTGCCGTTGTCTTAGAAATCTCTTTTGCTGTCATCAATAGTGATCGAACTCTTGTGACTGCAAGAGTTCAGGCTTGTTTATCAGGACAGCTCTTGGTGAGCTGGTCTGACTTTGGTTTTAACCATGTCTGGGCTATTTTTTCAGACCAGCTGAGAGAATGCTAATTGGCATTTTCCTTCCATGTTTTCATGTTTGCTCTTCCTATTCCCTTGCCCTTGTTTTGACTCTTCCCCCACCCTCCTGGGACCCTAGTTTGTACAAGTAAGACTGGCTCAATTTTTCTCTCAGTGAGCTTAATGCTTTTTTTTTTTAATGCATGTTTTTGTTTTTTTAAATTCCCATAGTCACTATTTCTGCCTCTAATGATTGGAATGATATGAGAAATAGATCAGCGACTCTCTTTGTGCAGTGTAATTCAACCCTTTTTGATTGTTGTGAAGTGGAAGGAATTGATTCTTTTCCTCCTATTCTTGCTGCTCTTTTAAAAATTTCTAAGGGATAATGGTGTTGGTGGTTATTCAGCAGAACTGATTTACTCTTTCATGCTTTGACAAAGCAGTGAGGGTTCAATTGTGTGCCTGTGTGAGCGTGAAGCTTTCGGCAGAATAAATGTGTTTATTTGTTCTAGGGATTTCTCTTTTTAACCTGCTGTCATGTTCTAATAATTGCTTCTTGGCTAACTCCACTGTTCTGACTAACTGGACATTTTAACGGCCTCTTTACAATGCGTGATAACTTCTTACAGGTTCATTGAGCAAAATGGATATAAAAGAAAGTCACTCACAGTCTGCAGTAGACCTTTTAAATGATCAATAATGAGACTCGTGAATGCCTATTGAGAATAGTTTGTTGTGCTTTACATAAAATAAGCAGAAATATGTCAAGTGCGCGTTCCACCTATGTTGTTCTCATGTTGTAGTAATGTAGCCAGACAAAAATGAAGCTTTGGAAATGGCTCTAGCATTGTGTGCTCCACAAAAGTGGTTTCTTAGCCATAGCTCCATAAGCTTGTTTTTGTTCTGTCACCATCCTTTTTGGTTACCTTAGGCAAAAACAATGTGGTTGTGTTGGCCACTGGTTTATACATAATTTCACCTAGGGGTGCAGCAAATTAGCATCTGTACTAATACTGACTAATGGAATGTATGCGGCATGTAACACAGATCAACATTGAGATGACTGCTTCTTTGCTGCTGTCATTATAAAATTCTTCCCTTTTTGGCAAACTATATACTAATTGTGTAGTGCCATAGCCAGCTTCCAAGAAAAATCTGTCGAATTAGGTAATCTCCAATTTGATGCTATATTTTTTTTTCTGATGAATTGATTTGCAGACTTTAGTTGAACTAAAACATTGTAAATCACACACTGTACTGGGGCTCTAACTTTGATATAGTTCACCATGTGCTTTGTTTTAGGTTAGCAGATTCATTTAGGGTAAACTGCATGTGACTAACTAAGAACTTACTCCAGTTTAATGAGCTGAGGATACATGCATTTGGGGGTTTGACTTGTTTTAGACATCCTCACCCTCCATTCTGAATCATAATTAATGTTTTGAAACACCAGGCTCTTCATTACTATAAAAGGTATCATGAGGGAGAGAAACTTGGTGGTATTAAAGGACCACATTATCACGGTGAATTGGGAAAGACGGAAAGAACTCTGAGACCATCATAAACTGTCTGAGCAAAGTGTCTCCAGGGTGTTTGGCAGCTACTCTCAGAACACTGCTTTCTTTCTTATCTTTCCCCGACCTTGGCCAACTGTTCCTGTTGTGTGCATGGCATGTGATAACCATATTAATCTGTGTTGTCTCTCTCTCTCTCTCTCCCCCCTATTTTTTTTTCTCTCCCTCTGCTCTTCCGTTATTTTCTCTAACTCTTTGGAAACCCAAGGAGCTGGTAAGAGCCTGACTAACTCTCCTCTTCCTCCTCCTCCTCCATCATGTCATATGTGTAACTTGTCTAAGGTTTTGTCTCTTTTTATCCTGATGTTTGTGAGCCCACTCATAGCACCTTTGTGTTTGTGTCAGCACTGTTTTAATTCGACCCATTGCATGTGGTTCATCATAATTGATCACTAAAAAGTTTTGATCAAATGATCCATGGTATTTCCAATCACTAATCAAAACCTGTCATTTAGAAAAGAAAGTGTTAGTTACTTCCAGCTGTGGTTCTGCCTTTTCCATTCACTCCACATCGTTTTATCATAGTAAACCTGTAGCACACGGATGACATATTTGTTTGTAATGATGACACTACAACCAGTCTTTGCTGAAACTATGAATGATCTTGAAATTATCTGGTTGTGTAAAAGCTGGACCAAATAATGGATGTGAAACTCTTGCAGATTCTGATGATTCATGGTTAAAATGGGTTTTAATTTCTATGGGTGTCTGGACTTGGTTGACAATAATACACATAATTCATGATCTTACCGTATGTTTCGGACCATAAGGCACACCGGACTATAAGGCGCATTAAGCGAAACAAAACAGTCAGATATGTCAAACTTTACTCAACGCATTCTTCTTCCTTACTCCACTTCCGTACCATTGATTCATTAATGTTGAATTCTCTGGCAGCTGCTCTATTCCCATGTTGTTGCAGTATGTTAATGACTAACCTCGCATTGCGGTTGATGGATTATCTCAGTTGTTCTACTGACTGAAGTTTGGTCTGTTTACAGCATCCTGCCATGCCACTGCATTTGTCCCTAACCTTCGGGAACCCTCACGTTAGCTTTTATCCAGTGGAAAAAAGTTAGCATTAGCACAACACGCATAGCTGTGTCGCTAGCAATCACGTAGCACATCATTATCTACCAGCTAGTCCAACTTCAGTAACCCTACAAAAGTCACTGCTGTTTAGTTTTCTGTCTTCATTTATGTTGGAAGTGATAGCAGAGCTGTACGTTTGAATTTTTTCAGAAATCTCTCAGTCAGAACATGCTATATGTTTAGGTTGAAACTAGCAAGCTAACTTCCTGCTAACGTCTAACTCCATTAAATTTAATAAATTCTGTTTTCATGGATGCCTGGATGTTAAACTTAATTGTTACACCTGATAAAGCAACAACGCTGATCAGTTTATTAAAGATTAAAGAATTTAAACAGTTTTAACTCTCAGTGATGCCGCAGTGTTCGTTTGACTGTTGTACCTGAAGCGGACACAGTTTTGGACCCAGATTTCTCCTCGAGGCTCCTGACTACAGTAGCCGTAATGCTCAGACAATCCATTAAGTGTTGCAGCTTCGTAGCTTACCAAAGTCGTACTAAAACATTTTTTGACCGATTTTTGAGCGCCGTGTACCACATAAAATCGTTTCGAGCTCAGTAAGCACAACCAGAATTCATACATAAGGCTCACTGGTTTATAAGGCGCACTGTCGATTTTTGAGAAAATTAAAGGATTTTAAGTGTGCCTTATAGTGCGGAAAATACGGTAATCATATTTTTGGGCAGTGATCAGACCAAGGTTTCCTGTCCAAATTTACCAACCTTTCAATGTATTTTAAGTGTACCTGGGGCTTTGAGTCTTTTGGCTCACTGATTCAGTACGGCTAATATAACTGTGTGAGTTTGTTGATGTTCAGCTGACTTTATTTCCTGGTTTTTCAATGGCAGGAGGAGCTTTGCAGTGACAGCGTGGAGAGGATTGTGGTCAACCCCAATGCTGCTTATGACAAGTTCAAAGACAAGCATGTCAGCACCAAGGGACTTGGTCAGTTTATCACTTTTAATTTAATAACGACGTATTAAGTTGAATAACAAAATATGTGGTGGTATACCACATCATTGCATTAGGTCACATGTTTCTTTATTACATTTTACATCCACTGTGTCTGTCAAATGCACCAATTTACTCCTGAGTTGAGTTACAAATTACAACATCCATGTGTTTTAAGAAAGTATTTATCCTTTATTAAAATGAAATTATATATTTGTGGCTGGTATTAAAAATGTACAGACTTGACTGGAAATTAGTGAATTATCGTGTCACATTTGTAGACAAAAAACAAAGTGTTACTTTAGTCTGTTGCTAACATATCTACCTCGTTAAGGTACAGAATGAAGAAGAGCTGCTTTGGCTTCAGTTAGTTAAGAGATTATTAATTGGTTCATTGAATTAAAGCCTATAAAGTTAACATATTGCTAAAATTGGCAAAAGTAATAAAAAAAGAAAAGTAAATGACACACATTCCTTTGCTTTGTCATTTATTCTCAGTGCTTCTTTGGCTGCCCTGTCTTTAAAATTTTCATCTGCTGTCATTTGTATTTAATTGTTGTATAAGATAAATTTCTTCTTTAGTGTAAAGAAAACAAACATCAATAAATACATGTAAAACAAATTAAAATATTTTATTCCTTCAGTTTGTGCTATAACAAATAGATTTGCATTCTTAGAAACATCAGTTTCAGCTTTTAATGTCGTGTTTGTCACTTTCTCTCTCAACACATTTGTCCTTTCTTTTTCCAGACTTTTCAGACAGAATCAGTAAAAGCAGAAGAGTTGGCTATGAGTCAGGAGAATTTGAGATTGTGAGTATATTCTGTTCAGCAGAAGAACATTACTTTGTTCTCACAAAAAGACTTTTTATTTTGTTCACTCTTGTGTTTGTCATTTCTGATAAAAGTCAGAGAGCATGTGATGCTAGTGGTGTGATCATTTCTCTCAGCTCTTTTGTATATTGAGTAATATTCATTCAGTTTCTCTGCTCTGTGGCTTAGCTTGGAGAGGGCTGTGGAGTGAAGGAGACGCCTCAGCAGAAGTATCAGCGCCTAGTGAATGAGATCCAGGAACTCACGCAGGAGGTGGACACCATCCAGGTAACCTGCAAGCAACAGACGTGTACACACGTCCAAAAGAGCGTGTGAGGGATGATCATTCTTCTACCTGTATTTTAATGTTAGTAGCCTTCCTCCACATTGCTCATAGATCATTTAGTATTGCATTTATTGAAGGGAAGATCAACCATTGAGTTGGAACAATTTCAGCAAATCTAATCCAAAGCCTAATCTGATGAATACCTGAGTGTTAGTGAGAAGAGGGTTCATCTTAAAATAGCATAGCAGGTTGGCTAAACTGGCTGGTGCTACCAAGGCAAAGACTAGTGAGCTTCCTGAAAGCCTGCCTCAGGTATGCTTTTATCAACACCTGACTAGGTGTGGCCAATTAGCACCAGCTGAACACACTGAGGAGATTAGGGGCTGCAGAGGGGCGTAACAATGCACTAAAGCTAAAGCACACTGTGAAAATTTGCTAGATTACAACCAACAATGTTGATTAACAAAGTTTCCTTCCTGTCATCGTGCAAGAAATGGCTCACCCTCAAATTTAAATTTTATTTGTCGCACACACAACCATACATATTCATACATAAGGCACACGGGATTATAAGGGGCACTGTCGATTTTCAGAAAAATCAAAGGTTTGATTTTAAGTGTGCCGTATTTTCCAAACAACACGGTAATAACGACGGCCCGCTAGCATGCTCTACCAAAAATAGTGCTTTGTTGTGTATCTGACGGACGAAAGCTAAACCAGTTCCACACCAGTGAAGTTGCAGCATTTCTACAAACCAGTTCTGGTTCATCTGTTTCATTTAACGATCCACTTTCGCTCTACTCATTCTGCGTCGCCGCCATGTGTATATGTAAACATAGGCACTGCGCATGCGCGTTTTACCCATATTCTATCGCAATATGTCATTTTCCTATCGTTGCCCAAAATTACACCGGTATTACCGGTATGATATAGCCCAGCCCTAGTCCATCATAATCTTCCTAGCTTTGGTCTTGCACCGCTTGGTGTAGATGGACAGCAGGTCAGGAAGCTCTGATCGAATGATGCGTTCGGCTGAGCGCACCACTCTTTGCAGATCTTGTCTGTCCTGCTTGGTGCTGTTCCCAAACTAGGTGCAGATGTTTCCCATCAAGACGCTCTCGATGGTGCAGGAGTAAAAGTTCTTGAGCACCCTCAGCAGCAGGTGGAAGTCTCTAAGTCTTCTGAGGAAGAAGAGACACTGGTGGGCTTTCTTAACCAGAGTGTTAATGTGGCAGGACCATGACAGGTCCTGAGTGATGTGGACACCCAGATACCGTAAACTATCCACTCTCTCCACTGGCGTGCCACTGATGATGAGGGGCTTATAATTCCTCGCCTGCTTTGTAGTGAAGTCCACGATCAGCTCCTTAGTCTTGCTGACATTTAGGAGGGGGTTAATTTCCTGTCACCAGGTCTCCAGGTTCATAATCTCCTCCAGGTAGGCCTTCTCGATGTTGTCAGAGATCAGGCCCACAACAACAGTGTCGTCAGCAAACTTGACAATGGAGACAGACAGGGGAGGCGGCGTGTGTTTAATGGTGAACAACAACTGGTGCAACAGTGCGAACGTTGTTCCTCTCACACGCTCCTGCACACCAAATCTGGAACTACTGTCCATCATGTGTCGTCCTTTTTATCTACCTCGGGAATTTACATCGGTCATTGTAAGTGCCGTTTATATTCCACCACAAGCGGACACGGTCACCGCCTTATGCGAGCTGCATGAGGCACTCACACAGCACCAGACACAACACCGGGACGCTGCGCTTATTGTGAGGGGGGACTTTAATAGCGCCAACCTCAAACGCGCAGCGCCGAACTTTTATCAACACATCACCTGCCCCACCAGGGGTGAAAGGACACTGGACCACTGCTACACTACGGTCAAGGACGGCTACAAGGCACAATCCCGCCCTCCGTTTGGCAAATCTGATCACGCCGCCATCTTCCTCATGCCAAAATATAAACAAAGGCTGAAACAGGAAGTTCCGGTTCAGAGGAAGGTCGCGCGCTGGACGGATCAATCGGTGGCCGCGTTACATGACGCACTCGATGACGCAGACTGGGGCATGTTCAGAAACAGCTCCGACGATGACGTCAACGTGTTTACGGAAGTGGTTGTGGGATTCATCGGGAAACTAGCGGATGATACCTTGGAGACAAAGACTATCACAACGTTTCCCAACCAGAAGCCGTGGGTGGATAAAACCATCCGCAACGCTCTGAGATCCCGCACCGCTGCCTACAACACGGGACTCACAACGGAGGACATGGACCCGTACAAAGCCGCGTCATATAACGTGCGGAGGGCGGTGAAAGAGGCGAAGCAGCGCTACGGGAGGAAACTAGAGTCACAACTCCAACAGAGTGACTCTAGGAGCCTGTGGCGGGGACTAAGGACAATAACGGACTATAAAGCACCAACAACCGGTATGACGAACGCGGCCGTGACTCTGGCAGACGAGCTGAACACTTTCTATGCTCGCTTCGAGGCTGCAGCTAAGGTCAATTTCAAATTCAAATTTTATTTGTCACGTACACAGTCATACACAGTACGATATGTAGTGAAATGCTTGGACAACTGCTCGTGACCTAAAGAGAACAAAAAAGGAAAAGGCTATGAATAAGATAGGAAATAAATATGAAAAATTAAAAAGGGTAAATTTAACTAGGAAGGAATAAAATATAAATTAAGGTTAAAAATGAAATAACTGTACAACACAAATTAGAATGAAGGGTAATTTAACTGGGAAGGAATAAGATAAAATATATAAATTAAAGTTGAAAATAAAATAACTGTACAACAAAATACACAATATAGAACTATATAAGAATGTATGAAGAAATCTAAATATAAATAAATATATACACAATAACAGCAGCTGTACAAGTATTAACCGGAAATGAAGAATATAGTGACCAGTGTTGTGCAAAAAAACAATGTGTGCAAAAACAATGTCCAGAAAGTCCAGTGTGTGTGTAAGAACCATATGTGTGGGTCAGTACTGTGTGGTGGTGTGATTGAGAAACCGTATCGCCTGCGGGAAGAAGCTCCTCCTCAGTCTCTCTGTGTTGGTCTTCAGGGAGCGGAATCGCTTTCCTGACCTCAGCAGGGAGAACAGTCTGTTGTTGGGATGGCTGAGGTCCTTCACGATCTTCCTGGCCTTGGTCCAGCACCGCCTGCTGTAGATTGAGTGCAGGTCAGGGAGCTCGGAGCGGATGGTGCGCTCAGCTGACCGCACAACCCTCTGTAGAGCTCGTCTGTCCTGCATGGTGCTGTTCCCGAACCAGGTTAAGATGTTTCCCGCCAGGATGCTCTCTATGGTGCACGAGTAAAAGTTCCTGAGCACCTTGGAGGGCAGTTGGAAGTCTCTCAAGCGTCTGAGGTGGTAGAGACGCTGTCGGGCCTTTTTCACCACGGTGTTGATGTGACAGGACCATGACAGGTCCTGCGTGATGTGAACTCCGAGGTATTTGAAGCTGTCCACTCTCTCCACTGGGCACTCGTTGATGACGGGGGTCTGGTAGTTCCTCTCCTGCTTAGTGCTGAAGTCCACTATCAGCTCCTTTGTCTTACTGACATTTAGAAGGAGGTTGTTCCTCTGGTCTCCAACAATGCTAGTGTTAGCGGCGCTAACGGCTGCAGACAGGAAGATACTGCCAGCACCGGAAACGTGCTCGTCATCTCCGAGCATGAAGTAAGGAGAGCCTTCAAAAGAGTGAACACCAGAGAGCAGCAGGACCAGACGGCATCCCAGGTCGTATCCTAAGAGACTGCGCATACCAGCTAGCTCCTGTGTTCACTGAGATATTCAACATCTCTTTATCTCAGTCGGTGATCCCCACATGCTTCAAAGAGTCCATCATTGTTCCTGTCCCGAAGAAACCCCACCCTGCTTCTCTCAATGACTATCGCCCTGTAGCCCTCACCTCAGTAGTGATGAAGTGCTTTGAACGCCTGGTCAGAGACTTCATCATTTCTTCACTACCAGACACACTGGACCCACTACAGTTCGCTTACCGTCCAAATCGTTCCACAGATGATGCCATCTCTCATCTCCTCCACACATCACTCACTCACTTGGACACTAGAAGGGGGAATTATGTTAAAATGCTCTTCATAGACTACAGCTCTGCATTTAACACCATAATTCCCTCCACACTCACCACCAAGCTGGAGCATCTGGGACTCAGCTCATCTATGTGTCAGTGGATCTCTAACTTCCTAACTGGCAGACCACAGGCAGTAAGGATGGGCGGACATGTCTCAGCCTCCACCACTCTCAGCACTGGAGCCCCCAGGGGTGTGTTCTGAGCCCCCTGCTGTACTCTTTGTACACATATGACTGTGTGGCCACTACCAGCTCCACCACCATCATCAAGTTTGCTGACGACACCGTCGTGGTGGGCCTGATCTCTGATAACAACGAGACGGCCTACCTGAAGGAGATTAGGAATCTGGAGAACTGGTGCCAGAGGAACAACCTCCTTCTAAACGTCAGTAAGACAAAGGAGCTGATAGTGGACTTCAGCACTAAGCAGGAGAGGAACTACCAGACCCCCGTCATCAACGAGTGCCCAGTGGAGAGAGTGGACAGCTTCAAATACCTCGGAGTTCACATCACGCAGGACCTGTCATGGTCCTGTCACATCAACACCGTGGTGAAAAAGGCCCGACAGCGTCTCTACCACCTCAGACGCTTGAGAGACTTCCAACTGCCCTCCAAGGTGCTCAGGAACTTTTACTCGTGCACCATAGAGAGCATCCTGACGGGAAACATCTTAACCTGGTTCGGGAACAGCACCATGCAGGACAGACGAGCTCTACAGAGGGTTGTGCGGTCAGCTGAGCGCACCATCCGCTCCGAGCTCCCTGACCTGCACTCAATCTACAGCAGGCGGTGCTGGACCAAGGCCAGGAAGATCGTGAAGGACCTCAGCCATCCCAACAACAGACTGTTCTCCCTGCTGAGGTCAGGAAAGCGATTCCGCTCCCTGAAGACCAACACAGAGAGACTGAGGAGGAGCTTCTTCCCGCAGGCGATACGGTTTCTCAATCACACCACCACACAGTACTGACCCACACATATGGTTCTTACACACACACTGGACTTTCTGGACATTGTTTTTGCACACATTGTTTTTTTGCACAACACTGGTCACTATATTCTTCATTTCCGGTTAATACTTGTACAGCTGCTGTTATTGTGTATATATTTATTTATATTTAGATTTCTTCATACATTCTTATATAGTTCTATATTGTGTATTTTGTTGTACAGTTATTTTATTTTCAACTTTAATTTATATATTTTATCTTATTCCTTCCCAGTTAAATTACCCTTCATTCTAATTTGTGTTGTACAGTTATTTCATTTTTAACCTTAATTTATATTTTATTCCTTCCTAGTTAAATTTACCCTTTTTAATTTTTCATATTTATTTCCTATCTTATTCATAGCCTTTTCCTTTTTTGTTCTCTTTAGGTCACGAGCAGTTGTCCAAGCATTTCACTACATATCGTACTGTGTATGACTGTGTACGTGACAAATAAAATTTGAATTTGACAACTGTTCATGCTCATTGCAGTAAATGTTTCTGTATTGTTCACATTAAGTTTTATTTGCAATTCTGTATTTTTGATTGGTTAGCGAGCAATATGGTCTAGAAGTAGATCCATATGCCTTTATTTACAAAAGCTAATCCAAAAATATTATATGATCAAATAATAATGCAAAAATATTAGTGTTTGATACTGCACTACACACAGATTGTATTACCTGGCATCAAAGATGTATGTGTCTCTCTGCGTCCAGGCTGCCACAAAGGAAAGTAATGCAGAGGAGCGCCTCACTCCAGTGGTGCTGGCCCAGCAGGCAGCCCAGCTCAAACAGCAGCTGGTTTCAGCCCATCTCGACTCACTGCTTGGACCACAGGCACACATCAACCTGGCTGACCCAGATGGCGCACTGGCCAGGTGAGTTGGCTGGAGTTAACAAGACAATGAAGCACAAACGAGGGCAAGCACCTGGAACCTGAAACTTAACACCACAGTCTGTTAGATCGTGCCAGCACTGATCTGAGAAACTGAAATGCTTGGGAAGAAAGAGGGTGCTCTGGAGAAATGGAGAGAATAAGAGTGATTGATATGGGAATTGGATTTTCCAAGCTTTAACCAGATATAATGAGATGGAGTAGTAAGGAAATAAGATGAATTGTACACATAAATGTTGCTGATCTCAAAGGGCATAGCTACCAGGAGCACAACACAACTAAGTGACAGATGATTGAGGGAGGGAAATTAACTAAAAGAACACAGAAATCTTTGAAAAATGCCAGCACCCAACTGAGCATAAGCAAAGGAAGCCGTGGGCTTAAAAGGGGAAAACACAAATGAGAGAAAGTGAGGAAAACACCTTCACAAACCTTCACTTGCAGTTAATAACACTGACTTAAAGGATTGAGAGGGAGGGAGGACCACACTCATGGCAGCACATGGGGTTGGTAACAATGGTGAACATATTATCCCTTTGTGTCTTTCTTCCCTTCTCATAGGCGTCTGCTCACCCAGCTGGAAGCCGCTAAGGGCAGCCGTAGCAGCTCTGCAGGAGACTGCAAGCCGACAGCATTAACTAAGGGCCCAGATGGAGTGGTACTCTACGAGTTACACAGCAGACCAGAGCAGGAGAAATTTAATGAGTCTGCCAAGGTAAAGAGGAAAGAGAGGTGGATAAATGTCTGTGATGAATGCACACATAAAATGAGGCTGTATGGTCTCCTCGGCCTGCTTTGTTTCTGTTCTTCTGAGTGGAATGTCAGAATACTAGATGGCAATAAGCAGGACAAAAGGAGGAAGGCATACATGTGGGTGTTTGTGTGTCTCTTGTGGGATGCTTGTTGTCACTGCCAGCCATGTGTTGCCCTGTTCCGTCTCTGTAGATGGCGGAAGTGGAGAAGCGTCTAGCTGAGCTGGAGATGGCTGTTGGCTCAGGATCAGACAAGCAGGTACACACAGTCCCGCTGTCTCTCTCTCTCTCTCAAACACACACACACACACACATTGTCTTCATGGGTCTTTGCTCTCATTCGCACTAATTCTGTGTGCCTGTCTCTATGTCACACTCACAACAGAATTTTCTTGCTTCTGTTTTCAAGTAAAATAAAATATTCCACTTGATTTATGTAAATTCAAGCGGTGGCTTTGTTGTTTCTTGTTAAAATGCATTTTTCCCTCTTCACATTTACTTTATAGGGACCTCTGAGTGCTGGTGCTCAAGGAACCAGTTTGATGGTAAGAACACACTGTGGAGTTTGTCTCTCTATTCAAAACTCTGGGTATCTGATGTGCAGCCAGAGAACTGGGTCATACTTCAAAGGTGACATCAGTTCCTTCAAGTTTGTTTATTGCTGCTGTGCCAGTAGGAGGAACAAAAACCTAAAGTTTTGTGCTTGATCTTATATATAAACTTGTCCTCCTTTGTATCAGGACACCATAGAGCTCCTGCAGGCAAGGGTCAGTGCTCTGGACTCTGCTACTCTGGATCAAGTGGAGGCAAGACTGCAGGTGATTACTCCCCGTACAGCATTACAGCACAGTGTTAGGAGGAGGCAGCCTTTCCATATGAAGTGACAAGACAGTTGCATCTTGATTACATTCGTACATCAGTTTTTTTTCCTAGATGCATTTTGGTTTGAAAGGGTAGTGGGTTTTGGTGTTTGTATATATTTTGCTCTCTTTTGAGTTTCATCCATTGCGTTTAGTACAGAAGCAGGCCTGGATGTGTCAGTTGGAGGGGCATCTGGACTGTAGCTTTTGTATCTAACAAAAACTAAAAAACATTTTGCTTTTCTGCAAGAACTCATCCCATTTCTCTATAGCAGTTATTCACAAAATCAAGAGCGCTGCAGCCCACTTAAAAACTATAAAATCCAACCGGAATTTAAATTTGTCTTAAATCTTCAGTCTAATCAAAATATAGCAGAAAATTATGTATTTCTTTGAAAATTGTATTTAAAAAAAATAGCAACAAATGGTTGGCTTTAAATTCCTAATGCTAATCCGGTCATATGCTTATTGTTAAGGCCAGTGTAGCCCACCTGCCACTGGGACACAAACTTCAATACAAGAGCATTCAGTTTTTGCCCAGAATAAAGAGTAATATCACAAACTAACCACCGCCTAGCACCAGTTTTCATTCAGTTTTTATGTAATTAAATTAATATAAATATGTAACTGTACATACTTGTAAGTAATTTCAAACTGCGGCCCAGCTGCAGTTCCTTTGTGGCCCAAAAAGTCACTCTGAGGAGGTCTTTAGGTCACTGCTTGCTTTTTAAGAACAACATATACCTGAAACCTAAGGAGAATGTTCAGAATGGAGGGTATTACACAAAGCTTAGGTCGGTCCAGCTTTGAGTCGGTGCTTTTATAGTTTGTGCCTTAATGTTTGGCTACTTTGTTGCTCAGCTGATAAATATCTTTAGTTTTAAAATATGCCACAGTGACCATGATGTTGGGTTACTTGTGACATAGTTTGCAGTGAAACACTAGTTGCCCCTGAGTGGTACCTCTTGCAAAATTAGAATAGATTACCGTATACGTATAATGTGTTTTTTCTCTCCTGCAGAGTGTCCTCGGGAAGATGAATGAGATTGCTAAACACAAGGCAGCGATTGAAGACGCTGAAACACAAAACAAGGTTAGTGACCCCTGACCACCTTCAGTATCGAATAAAGGCTGTAATAATTGCAGATCTGTTTCTTTACAACTTCCAGGCTCAAACTGACCGCATGTGATTTGTCTACTTTGAGGCTGTTTCAGTAAATGTTTCTTCTGGACAGACATTTGCAATCATTAGAGCTGAAATGTTTTCATCAGTGTTAAGGTTCTCGTTCCAATAAGTGTATATTTACAAAAGTCTGGTAACAAGTGGGAAGAATATTGTTTATACAATTTCAGCTTAATGCTGATATTTCAAACTGCCCACATTCATAGCCAAACATTCATAAGAGCCAAACCAAAGTGTAATTGAATAGTTTGTTTTTAGTTTGTTCTTTCTAAATAATGAATCGATTCAGGATCTGACTAACAGATTTCATGCATTCACGTGTTGTATATGTAGTTGACCAGCAGAGGGCAGGCTATGCTAATTATATAATTTCTATGAATAACAGTATAAATGGTTGGTTTGTGTTAGGTATATTGGTGTTTTAGAAAAATATTGTATTTGACCATCTGACAGCTTCTATAAAAATCATTAAATGTGTTTTGGGTTTTTTTTTTATCTGCCAGGTGTCAAAGTTGTATGATGTGGTGCAGAAGTGGGATGCCATGTCCACTTCCATACCTCAGGTGGTGCAGAGGCTCGTTGCTGTGAAGGAGCTCCATGAGCAAGGTAACACGCAGGAACTGAAACTGCTCCGTCCATTCACACAAAACCATGAAATGCAGAAGGTGCTGAGGTGTTTCAGGGGTGTAGGAGCTTATTAAAACTCTAACATTAGATGAATGTACTTGGTTAGTGTGTGCCAGTAATTGGCCAATATTGTAATAATGTTGCTCTTGGGGCAAATTTCCCCCTGGTAAGGATCACAATGGAAACATGGATAATTTATGTGCTCTTCTTTTATGTAAGGGGAGACGAACCTTGAAATGACACCCATGAGAGTTCAAGGAGAGAATGTATGTAGGTTAGCGGGGATGGGATGTGGCGTTAAAGGCTGAAAATATGTTGGGTGTTGCCACAGAACATAACAGGGTGTGAACCCAGATCACGTTCCAGGCAGCATATGTGTTGGAGAGTAACATTTGCATCCACTGTGGAAACGTCTGAGAGCGAGACATAAGATGAAACTAAGGGAAAACGGGATTCAAATAGATAATGGAATTAGCCTAAACCGTGCCATTCTATTATAACAAAGGGCAAAAAATCACTGAGAGGGGAGACTCAAAATGGTAACGGAATTAAACTAAATCTTGCAATACTGCTAAACACCCCCTTGGGGTAACAGAGATGCATGATATTATATATATCACATTATCATCTTTTTATTATTTAGCACATGAAAGCGGAACCTTGGCATTAATAGATTATATTGATAATTCAGTTCTGAGAGCTGAAGGAGGTCATTTATCATCCAGCCTCTCTCTGCACCGATCTGTCACACATTGCAGCTTCTTTGCTCGACAGAGCTTAGCTGCACCTTTTTTTCTTCTGATCTTTCTTTACCAATAAAGGAAAACTTGAAAAAGAAAATACTTAGTTTAATCTTTCAAGCTGCCGTTCATCACTGTTAGATTAGGTTTGCATCAATTCCTTTGCCCTTCTCCTTCAGCTGACAACAAAGACATTTCATTTTTTAGCAGATGTTTTGAATTTAAGGATTACTTACTTCCTGTCCTTTATCTAATTCTCCCTTTTCACTTCAACCCTCTATCTCACAGCCATGCAGTTTGGCCAGCTGCTGACACACCTGGATACCACTCAGCAGATGATCAACAACTCCCTGAAGGACAATAATACCCTGCTAACACAGGTGAGAAGTTTATAGACCTGTTGAACAATTGTAGCAACATAAATAATTTCTAAGCGCTGCAGGGAGAGTAGAACTCAGCAGTTTTATCCACTTAAACGGTCAGCTTGAATGAGCCACTGCAGCCATGGTAAACTTGGCACTGGCCAGCAGAAATGTGTCACAGTTCGATATAAAAAGACGCCAGCAGTTATACAGTTGCTGTCGTTTTATAGAAACGAACGTTTCTGCAGTAATTGGTAGAAACTTTGTGAACCACTTTTTCACAATAGCAGATGAAAATGTTAGATTTGGTGTGAAAGAAAAACTTGACATGTTCAAACACTTGGCCGTAACCTCTTTGTATGTGTAGTGAATGAGTGGAAAAAGTGTCCTCTAATACCCTTCAGAGTGCACAGCCGAGGCAGCTTTTCACAGCTAGAAGTAACAATCTAACAAACTACAGCTTCCCATTACGAGGACAGAAGCTCTGTAAAGCCTCTCAGGCAATAATCAGTCTGTGCTTTCACAGTTCAAGGCTTCTGGCAGGAGGGACCAACCAGTGCCTCAATCCAGTAAAATGTATTTTGTTTTTCTTTACAATGTTTTGGTGTCACAGAGGCTAGTTAAGTCTGACATTTCAGTTTCTTATCAACACTGAAATGTTTGTTTTTGGTTTTTGTGTAGCCTTCTGAAACAATATTGTCTAATAATAATTGTCATCAGTGAAGGTTGGGCGATCGGACGAATATATCGACCAATCGACGATAGGCTGAGTCTTTCACCGATCATTTTTACAAGAGCAATGTTATGTATTTATTTGCCCATGAGTGAGTTTGCTAATAATGTTGGTTGAAGTTAAGAGAAGCAGTCAATAGAAGAAATAATAGCAGTGTTTTAACAGCTCCCTCTTCCAGCTGCAAACAAATGCAGAGATTCATTTACTCAAACTCATAACAGAAAGAAAGATGGTAGCCCATGTTCAGAAAAAACAAAAACATTTTATTTAGATTTTAAAAAAAAAAAAACAACCCAAAACGGTGGGGAGGGAAACAAAGAGAAACTGTCTTCTTTTTTTTCCACTCTAACCGTGTTTACAGGCCGTTCCAGTGTTTGTCTTACACACTAAACCAAGCAACAAATCCAAAATTAAACAAAAAGTAAGTTAAAAATCAAAATGTCTCTTCCAGCGAACACATATAAATAAATGACTAATCCAAAAAGTAGCTATATTAATTCTGAACCAAACAAGAAAAGAATGTAAAATATTACATTGCTCCGCCCATCAAAAAGTCACCTGCGTGAATATATCATGTATCGTCTATTGGAAAATTTTTACATATCGCCCAACCTTATCATCAGTAGCACTTTTCCTACATGACTCAGGTATATGAATGTTTAACAGGGCTGCACCTGATTGGTATTTTGTTTGAATTATGGCAAAGGTTTCCATATTTAAGCACCTTCCTTTCTTTTCTCTTACCGATTATTTAGCTTTTTCCTTACATCCTCTCTCCCCGTCCCATCAGTCTCTCGCACGCACTTCTGGAGTTAGCATTCTCTCTAATTCTTCTTCTTTTTTTACCAGGTTCAGCAAACGATGAAGGAAAATCTTGTGGCTATAGAGGAGAACTTTGCTGCACTAGACCAGAGGATGAAGAAGCTTTCAAAATAAACGGTGGCAGAGTTTTAGAGACCGGGTTGTTTTTATAATTATTAGATTAGAAAATTCTACCATTCCTTTTGGACCTTCATGCGATTTTTGGTAAAATGAAATGGATGAAAAGAAAAACGGTGTAAAGCGGTGTAGAAATAAAGATCTATTGTCCTAAGTTGTTGTAGCTGAAGCACGTATGTGCGAGCATCAGGGCCGTGTCACCGAAGGACAGCTTGTAAATATGCCTGTGTACTTTATTGTTTCTTCACGCTCAGTCGCTTGTAACTATATTATTATGACTGAGACAGCAGACACCACAGACAAACTTTTAATCTGCTTTGTCATTGCCTACAAGTTCACTGTATTGTTCATCTGTGGTCATGGAAACTGATCAATAAAACAAAGTGCTGTAAGGCCCGCCTCCTTTCATTCCTTTTATTTTTTAAACATGTAATTATTGACCTAGCTTCCTGTCTGAAAAACTAAGTTTTGTGAAATACTGATGATCAAATGTTTTCCACCCTTTAAACAAAAAGATCCTGGTCATCAGTAATTAGCTGTTGGTGTTATGCTTTTAATAAGAAGCTGTAGGAGACTCACAGATGGCTAATTGAATTCTAAACTGACCTGTCAAAATAAAGTCTTCATTTGTGGTTGTGCTCAATATGTATGACCACTGGGTGGCAGCATAGCATCAAGCCCAAACAGAATCCTAGGACGAGGCCAAATAAACCCATAAAAGCAGATTAGTCACCCACTTTGACATATTTGTTTCTAATTAAGCTTCCCATATTTTATTACACATACCCCAACTCTGATTTTTAGGTCTAGACTCTAAATCCACCCTCATTCTGTGGCCTGTAACTCTGTTTGTCTCCTGCTTTTCTCTGTTTGTTGTTGTCGTCAGCATGTCTCTGCTTGCTGCTTCTAATTTTCATATTCATATAAGTATGTATGTATAAATGTACATGCTTTGTACAGCACCGAAAGCTGTGTAAATGGGATTTATAGAAATACATTCTACTTGCTCACGTTTACTTTCTAATTTCGTAAATCGTAACTTGATATTTTTAACTAGTTGGGGTTAAGTTGGTGGGGAAAAAAAGGAAAAAAACTTAAGTTATTTAACACAAAACCGTGTTTCATTACAAATCGTTATGTTATTTGACCTTTACTTCATGGCCCTCCCTGTCTCTCATAGCATTCTGCTTGTCATAACAGGGCAGTATTACAAAACTTCACAGGACAGTTATTTAAAAAAAAATTAAAAGGTTAAGTATTGTAGAAACTGTTGCACTAGAATAAAGGCAAACAGCAAAGTTAAAGCAGGAACAGAAAGCACCCAGTCGAGTAGAAACCTAAATGTAAAAGGATTATTTCTGTACGCTGCCTTTTGACAAGTAAAAACAGGAGCCACTAAATGAATTTAAGGTCAGTCTCAAATCCATCTAGTAGTTGTGCGTGTGTAAAAAGCATTTATTCAAAAAGCTGGCTCCTGTCTGAAGTCAAGTGATGGGATTAGTGACAAAGGCCGACAGATAGCATACAGCAGGGCGAGGATCAGGTGCTTGTGGTGAGTCATTCAGATACATCAGCCCCTGCGAGTTAGGTAACAGCGAGCCTCTCGCAAGTGGATTAATAGTTTACTGAGCTACGAACATTGCCCCAAAAGAAACACGCAGCCAGAAGTTAGGTTTCATGCCTTTGACATGCGCTCCATTTTTGGACTCGTGTACTTAAACCTGACCCTGAATTAGATACGACGTTTGATAAAGCCTCTGTTACCAAGCCTGTGGATCATTTCTTTACTTTAGCTGATTATTATGTCTGTGTCTCTCAGCCTATATTACATCTGTCCTTTTATTCCAAAGAGTTATGTGCTGACTGTGGACTCCAGCTTACCAGTTTCCCTTACATGTGGGAGAGCTGCCTGCTCGGACAAGACGTATCAAGTGTAAGTTTCAGGGAATTAGTTCCACAGATCCAACTTAGAAGGGAATGCCACAGATGAGCACAGAGACGTACAGTGTACTGTATATCATGTTATACCACATTTGTCCTTCTATTTCGGGTGCGCTAGATTGGGTCAGCTCAGCCCCATCTGTTAAGAGACACTTTAACACAATCACAAACTGACTATTTAGCAAGAGCACAAAGTATTTATTGAACAGCTGTATTATCTTTTAATGTGGAAATTTAAGGAATGATTAAATACATTTTAAGAGAAAGGTTTAAATCCAAAAAGCACAAACAATAAATATTGTCTCTGCAGTATAAATGTAGCTGCTTAAATACTGAATGTCAGCACCAGAAGCTTTTACTCTACTGGACAAAGTAAATATTAAAGTCCTCTGGCAGCACAGAGCAGCTGAACACAGAGGAGGCAGAAGGGAGCACCAATTGCTCTAAAATCTCTGTTTCTGGTCCTGATATGGGAAAAACTAGAATGAGAGGAAGAAAAGGATGGTGTAAGAGCCTGGAGTGTGTGTTTCGCTGCCAGAATACCCACCTGTTCAGACAGGCGTTTAAAGTTTAATGCGCTACAGTCTTTCGCTTTAGCTTTTTGTTGTTGTTATTGTTTTTATCCCTTTTTTTCAATTTCTCTTTTATCTTTGACATATGAATGAAGAAATCCAGAATAATGCATGTAGATAATAACAGCTCTGCCGTGCTGTAAAGATTTTCGATATAATCGTGAAATTTTAATTTAATTTAATTTACCACCCTGTTACTTCCACCTCAGAAATAACAAATAGAACAATTAATAAAAGAAGTCCAAAAACCTGAATGGGTTTGAAGGAGAGAAGAGGTGAGTGGAGAAGAGCTTTTACGGGTTTTACAGTCGTGCGGCACAATGAGGCTTGAAGACGGGGTACAGATGGGTGAGGCTCAGAGGTAAGCAGGGCTAAACACGCTAACAAGATTGTCTGCGAAGTCATCCCAAAGCTCCGAACACACAAATCTCACCAGGCAGATGTGATGCATAGCTGATGAATCTGGACGAGCTGTGATTGAGTGCTGAAATCATTTCAAACTTTAAGAGCTCTGAGATAGTTTGCTGCTTCGCGTGAATGCTGGCTGTCCTGTATTTATAAATGAAATGATAGATGGGGAAAGTTCCTGAGGGGAAAACTGCAAATTAGTTGATTAATGGGCATCAGCACACAATAGAGAATTGCATTATTGGTCTCAGCTGAGATGAGCATTGACAAGAGAGATGAATGTAGTAACTAAAGAGGCCTCGAAGCTTAATGACAAAGCTAAAAAAATATATATATCTGTTGGCAAAATTTGCCTTAAAAAGTATAACCAGTGTATGTTTGTCTAAGAACCACTGATTATTGTGTACTAATTTAGGATTTGGTTAATGCATTTTACACTTTACAAGAAGGTCTCTCTGTTTGTTGTCAGGGTGACCAAGAAAACAGTTAAAACACACCATGAGAAAGAGCAAGGCAGGATACAAAAAAGGGATTTACTGTATCACCAGCACTTGTTAACAGCTGTATCAGTTGGTCTCAGTTCAGAGGGATTCCGACAGCTGGTGTGTGTGTGTGTGTGTGTGCGTGTGTGTGTGTGTGTGTGTGTGTGTGTGTGTGTGTGTGTGTGTGTGTGCGTGTGTGTGTGTTTGTCGGGAGGAACTGGGTGTGGAGTCTTGACCAAGGGCATAGGACAGAAAGAGGGGAGCGTGGTATAGTGGCTGGAAAATTCCCCAGACTCTTTCTGCCTGTAAAACAAAAGTCAAGAGTTTATTTTCAAGAGATAACAACCACTGTCCCTTTAATTTCATTTACCTTATTTTGCTGTCCTTGCTGATTGTTTATTACATTTCAAGCACAAAGGCTTCTTTTAAATCTGTGTGGCAGCACAACAAAGAACCATATTTTCTGCATCGATAACCCCGTAAAGGCTGGGTTCTTTCACTTGTCATATTTCTAATAAATAAATATAAACATAATATTACTTTACCGGGCTGTTTCTTGCTTTATTTTGTGTGAACTGTGAAACACAATTGTGTTGTTATTATGTTGGTTTCACAGAAATAGTTTTTAAAAAAAGAAGGCAAAAACATATTCAGCCAACATCTCCAAAAGCTGATCCACACAAGCAGACAATTTAGACTCTGCAGGACTTGTTTACACTCTGTTACCTCAGAGCATGAAAAGGAACAGAAAAACAAATGCATTGTCTATACCAGTCTTTATCTTTGTTTTATTTTTTACTTTTTGAAATTATATATATTTTTAAAAAAGGTGACAATCGATTAGAAAGCAGGGGTCATCGTCATTAGAGCGTAATAACAGTCTAAAAAATATGCAACCTAGATTTGGGGTTGTAAACAGTGTTTTATAATGACTACAACACAGACGACGGGACTGACAAAATAAACAGACGGCATGGGTGGAGAGGGAGGGGTGTAGCGAAAGTATGCTCAACTACTCAGCAACAGCCACTCAAGTCGTGACGTGTTCACGGTGCTTCCTGCAGCGCTTTAACCCGGGTCCTAGAGACAGTATTTGAGCTTTCTATTCGCTACTTGGCGCTGTTGCTATGGGGCTGTGCATGTTGAGGCGTGCACGTTGCACCGTGCATGGAAAACAGTTTGCGTGTGCTGACTGAGAGTCTAAGGTTGGGGCAGAAAGTGTCAGGAGCAGGTTAAAGAAACCGCATCGAGAGCATAAACATGATGAAACCAGATTTGATTCCGCCACTTTTTATTGTATTTTTTTTTTTTATTGTTGCTGTTGTTATTGTTGTTTACCTTCTTTAATGTCGACGATCCAACATTGTGACTACCGCAGGACAGTGAAGCATGGCTCCCCGTGCGTCTGAGGCGATGACCTCGTTGAACTTTAACCCACAACAAATATTTATGCAGGTGGTTTATTATCTGTATTTTAGTCTGTGGGAGTTTAACTAGACTTTTATAAATTATGTAAACAACTTTCATGTGTTATTAATATCTAAAAAATATGTTATATAGGTCCAGGTAGAGGTGAAACGCTACGATATTCATATTATTAAGTTTACAGTATACTGTAAGAGGATGTTTACATGTGAAGAGTGACACCCCAGGAACTTATGTTGTTCTGTAAGTGCAAGTTACACAAATATGTCAACAAGCACCCGATGTTTTACTATATATATGCGACAAATATATTTTGTGTGTGTGTGTGTGTATATATATATATATATATATATATATATAGAGAGAGAGAGAGAGAGAGAGAGAGAGAGATGTTTTTGTTATACAAGTATATATAAGTAACATACCTACAAAACCAGAATTTCTTTTAGCAAAGAACTGATAAATTTCATCATTGCCAGATTAAAACACGGGAGCATTAGTCTGCGGCTGGATCACACCCAGCTCCGCGGGCTCGCGCCACAGACGCTCCACCGGCCGGGCATGTGTT